TGAGAAAAAAATTTAATCTCCATCCCGCAAGAGACTGTGTATCGGAAAATCTAAAGGTATGCTTGTTTAAATACTATGCGACATTGCTGCTGAACTGAGTTTTTATGGTTTAAGTGCGAAGAACATGATATTTAATAAATAAAGTTAACACACAAAAATTTAAAAAAAATTTTTTAAACGCCCCTTTGGGCGTAATATAAAATCTGAAAGCTTTCAGATTTATTTTGTGTGCAGCTGCGTTTGGAACAAATAATCAGATAACTACCGATTAAAAGGAAGTATAAAACAAGAGAATTGAAATAGAATGAAAAATGTACATAGCCCATTAGTGTGCAAAATGTATAAGATTGCTGAACAGTGCTAGTTCGACATAGTTTAGAATATCAGGGAACGAGCTTTTATTGTTTTTCTTGTGTATAAGGTAAATACAATCCTGCTTCCCTTAGAAAGTCCTCCACAAATGGGATGGCATCCTTTCCCATAGACAAATAACCTTTGTATGCTTTTCCGTAATGATTTCAACAAACAGTAGCAAGCATATATGAAATACTAATTATAATGATAAAAATTTGATGCCATTGTAAGATCATATACATGGTCGACATCAAGCCGAAACCACAAATCAACAATATCCCTTTTCGAGGGAAATAATTTTATTGGCATGGGCGTTTTTCTGCAAAAATCAATGTTCTACACTATAGTTCTAACATTTATCAAAAACAAATGCATTTTACTTTTTAATCATAATGCAAAACAGAAAAATAACATAAAAAAAATTAAATATTAATATTAAAGGGTATCGAAAGTATGGTTCATTTACATCATATAATTAGTCATGGCCTAAAATTTTAAAACGATAGTTATTCATTTTTAAATTCTATAGCGTAGAACCTCGATTTTTACAAAACTCTTACAACTCCCCCCCCCCAGTTTTAAAGCTTGTAAGGATTATGTTAATTTTATTAACAGTTAAATTTTGAGTTAAACTTCCTTTCCTATCAATTCTTAACTTCAACTTACCACTTCCGGCCAGAACGTAGTTTTAGAATCACGTCTGAATACATAATGAGGAAGAGCGGTATTTAACCGCGAAGTTCTTCGGTCTAAGTGAGAGAGATACCAGGTATTCTGGATAGCATGCGTCCGATTTTTTTAGGCTACTCTCTCGTAAGCTGTTATTACGCTCGGCCGTACTTTAGGCCCTTGATAGCTTCGCAGTCTATTAATGTTAAGGGGCCAACTCTGTTAGAATCTTGATAGCTTCGGCTATATCTCTTTAGTTAATATTAGTTTAGTTTAATTCTTAGTCTCTTAAGTTCAAGCCCAAATGTCGGCTTTATTCTACTACTCCAAGACAGAGTTTTGTTAAACTTTAGTTGGAATAATAAAGGGTTATTTTACCCTTCTATCTTGTTGTTTCCTGTCACACGAACTCAAGCGATTATTCGCTTATCAGTTCTTCACTTCCAACAGCAACACAGTGAGTATTCCTACAAGGTAGGCGTGTCGACGAATAGAACCGAGGCATTTTACTAAATCGCAGGAATCACTATACGAGGTCCAATCAGCCCTTGGGAATAAACTATGAGGGATCTGGCCAATTTGTTCATGAGAAAGTGAAAAGTTCAGATCTAAAGTGTATATTTTTCCTGCAAATTTCGCTATGTGTTGTATTTATCAGAAATAATGCTTTAACTTGTATTAAGTTACTACAAATCACTTAATATGGGACGCCCTGAAAAAGGAAAGCATAAATTAGAAAAAAGTGCAAAAATATTGGGTTTCCTTTCTCCAAACTCTTGTACATTTTCTAATGAACATTTTCTACCGGAAACATTTCTGTTGTGGAAAATATTATGCAATATTCCCCCCCCCCATTTGAAAATCCTGACTATTATATAATTATAGCTATTATAATAATAGATATAATTATAATGATAAAATAAATTTTTAATGCATTCAAAATTGCGTGCAGTGTGTGCTATTGTGTATTTAAATGTATTTATTGAAACTGAAAATTTTGATAAGTGTTAAAATTTTTCACGCTTTAATTACCTGCCACGCATCATTTGAAAGCAAATCTATTGATATAATGCTCATTGTTATTTTGTGTTTAATTATTATAAAACTATTTTAGCAATACCTTTACTTGACCATCTCAATTTCCATTTAAAATCTCAATTTTCAAGTTTAGAAAAGACTGCGTCATCCCAGTTTTGCATACAGCCATCAGTTTGCTCTGATCGTGTAAATGAAATTGGGGTAAATGAGTTGAAAATTGTAGAGTCATTAGGGTTTTTTTATGCAGGAGTCATGTGAAAAAGGAGCAATGCCCTCGCCGGGACTCGAACCACGGGCCGACCTCTCGAATTTGCGTCGTGCGTGCTGACCACTACACCGCGAAGGCTTGCTAAGGAGGCGGGAGAAGTACCTTATATACTCCTCCTTTTAAGGAGCGATTGAGGTTTTGGGGACCCAATCACCAAATCCTGGTAGTGAAGAATCATCATTCACCACCTTATAGTTCAGGCGCCACTATAGAGACATTAGGTACTTTTTTAAAGCAGGAGAGATAAATATGAGCCATGCCTTCGCCGAGACTCGAATCACTGTCCTCTTGAATACGCCCCGAGCATGCTGACCATTACACCACGAAGGCATGCTAAGAAGACGGGAGAAGTGCCTTAGAAGGTGATATATAAAGATGATTTACCCTCTCCGGAACTTCTAAAAGAAGAGACGAAACATTGGCAACGGCATTTTATGTCTATTACCAAAGCAAAGCTACCAGGCACACCAATTTTAGTTTTAAAAGCTTCGAATAAAATATTTTTACCAAATAGTAATGTGCTTTTGCACATAGCAGCTACACTGCCGATAATATCTTGCGAATGTTAACGTTCCGCACATGCTTTGAAAGGGTTAGAAAATTATAATAGAGGTACTATGACGGAAGAGCGAAGAAATTCTTTAGTATTAAGGAACATTAATTATACCAAAGGAATATCAATTGAAAAAATTATTGATATATTTGCCAGTTTACAGCTTTGGAAAGTGGAATTCGGGAATATTTTAAATGCCGAACCAATATGAAAGGCCAGAAAAATGTTTGCCCTTTTTCTCTTTTTTAAAAATTTTTATTTGCAATTTAATTTCATGTCCAAAATATATGATGTACTTACAACTTTTATGTATTTAATTCAATATCTTTATTATATACAACAGAAATATGGATTTTATATATTTATTTATCTTTATAGTTGTATTATGTAACCAAAAAAAATGAATTTCATAATTCTTTTAATATTTAATAATAATGTTTAATTAATTTAAAAACAGAAAAATGAGTTACGCATTTAATATGATTGTAAGCTAATAATTATAAATACGATAGTTAAATGCAATATAACCATAATTATGATTGTAAGGTAATAATTATAAATACGATAATTAAATGCAATATAACCATAATTTTATTAATAAAATTCATAATATAATTATTATTTATATTAAGATAACTGCCATTAACATAATATATTCGTCACGTAATAATTCCTATATACTTGAAGATGCTGTAATAGGTAGAACGGTATAGCCAGGAGTAACCGGAGTCGTAACGGGCACCCCTCCCCCCGAAATTTGAGCTGGCTACGTCCATGTCATACCCATTATTAGCGTGATATTTCCATTGCATTTCTTTCGATTCATTCCTCTCTTGTGATGTGATAGTCATAATGCATGCGTTTTTGTATGTTTTTGGTTTATTACGTGCTGTGTGGTCTAATAATGCCACACCAAGCTCTTGGATAAATTTCACGCATATTCTTGAATATTAAAATTTCACGCACGAATTCTCATTATAAAGTTTTTATTTCATTCCATGTTTTGGTCAAATTTCAGTCTTTTTTTACTGGTATTTGAGAAGTGCGCGCTCTCGTTGCATACAAATATTTATTATAAGAATGGACACGTTAAGTTTAATTTTAATCTGTAATAGCTCCTAAAATTTCTTTTTTGATTTTGTTATTTCCCTGTTCTAGCATAAATAGCATATGCTTCTACATATCATATTATGTAAGTTTATTACATAATATGCTGTTTTATAAGCTCTGTTTTAACATAATCTATACCATCTAGTATATTTTAATGAAAAATATGTGTGTAATATTATATGGAAAATTTACCAATATATTTGTTTACTTATGTATTAAGTATATTCTTTAAAAAAAAAAAAAAAAATCGATTACTTCACCTGTAAAGCAAATTTGAAGCAGCTACTTAATTGCAAAGAGAATAAACTGTTTTCTAATTACTTAAAGCAATATTTAAAATAGATCAACGTGTTTACTGATATATCAATAATCTTGAATATGCTCAGTGGTTCAAAATATCCGACATACTGAGTGATTTGTAATATCCGACAGTGTTCTTTCAGCATTGTTGATGGGGATAGAATTACCAATTAAACGTAATTTATTAAAAATTTTCAGTGCTTACAAATAACATAAATCATTATTTTTAGTAAAATTTGAAAGTGGAGCACAAGAACTATTTTCATATTTTACGATTGGCTTTCATTTTTATGTTCTCATATGTTATACATTTTCTTCAACTTCCTCATTAGAAGTATTTTGTTCTCATTACATTGAATATCATTACATTTCCAGTTAAAAAATGCCTAATCGTTAAGTTTATAAATATATCTAGAAGGCATTATGCTAGAATCTCATTAGCATTTAAAAGGAATCTAAAATATCCTCAAAATTATCATTTCGACATTAATTTGTAGAACTTTCATTTTATTTAATATTTAGCACCTTAAACACGACCACATTTTTAATATGAAAAATTGCACTTTGAGACCACTCTCCTAAGTATTATTCTTTGATTGAATGCAATCGTGTGAGATCATTACAAAGTACTTTTGAAAAACTTATTTGAAAACAATTATTTTCCAACTATAAATAGATATGATTTTTTAACACTAACAGTTTACCTACCTTTCATGGCATGTGCTATCCTAAGCCTGTGAATGCTGTTATCAATTCCACAGTCCCTACATAAGTGCTCTTCATTAATATACTTAAGGGTATCTTTCTGGACCCCACAACGAAGCATTTGGTATGTATACTGTGAAAATTCTGGACCTAAACTTTGCAGAACTTGATTCAAGTAAGTAGAATCGCAAGAAGTGTAGTCTGCCATCCTTTTCAACTGACTTAGCTCCCGAAGGAATCTACAAATAAAAAAATCAATATGACCTCTCCAATAACTCAAGTTTTAATATTCATTTAATTATAAGAGTATAATATACTAGATGTATTTAAATAGGAATTTAATGCAAAGATAAGCACTTAAAAATAATCAGTTAAAATGTATAAACAGGATATAAATTGACGCATAAATGGGTAAATAGGATATACGATGTAGTATGTACACTCTGCACACACACAGAAAAGGGGGGACAGTTCTATATCTCCCGTTCTACTGGGCCGATTGACGAAATTTAACTTCTGTTCTTTATGTCTCAAAAGCACGGCTTAGGATATATATTAGATTTATATATAGCATTCTGTAACACATATAATCTGACACAAAATCGGCCTTTTTCTGGAATAACATGCCAATTTTTTTCCATACTTCGATCCTACGACTCAAATTACGCCCAAATATTAAATTTTGTAAAATTTAGAATTTGGAAAGAAACTTACCTAGAAATCTGATAATTTATCTTGGCGCAATTTTTTCAATTTGCACCAAGAATAATTCACTTGGCGAAAATCTTTGATTTACAGTAACTTATTTTTCTTTCCCTTTTTCACTGTGCATGAGCGGGAAAAAAGATTCATCGTTCATTCTTTCAAATAATTCTAAACAAGTGCGTAAAACACATTTGGCGTTATTATCGCTTATAACAAATATGCAAAATTTCAAAACGCGCCAAAGTATAAATTCACGTATATCTTTAGAAATTTTGAATAGAAACTCTAATTTTCTTGGAGGTATGTCTAGAAATACATCTACTTTAAAACCCTTTCGACTCGACTTTTGCATGATTAAGTGTAATATGAGTTTAAAGTTTTCAACTTTTCCTGTTTCCTGGAAATCTCCTGGGACAATATGTCCCAATCGTATTGTTAACTGGAACTATTTGTCTCAATCGTCTAGGATATTACCCTTTCTCAGAAAACAAAACTAAAATTTGTGGTAATATATAATATGAATATTACCAAATGTAAACTCCGCCACATGCACCAGTTCATATACAACAAAAAGTGTCAGATACGTATCATAAACATAAACATAATATATCAGCATGTAGTAATTTCACCACTGATGGGATATATTAACCCACTGATCAATACGATTGGGACAATATATCCCACAAAAATAATTTATTCAAAATTTCTTAAATCTGTCATTAAAAATGTTAAATTTCAACTTAATAAGAACAACAAGAATTATTTCCTACTAAGCATGCCTTAGATATAATTGTATTTAATGTAAAATTTAAAAAAGAAAAAAAAAAAAAAGAGTGAGAGAGAGAGAGAAAAATCGTAATTTAAGTAATCGGTGTGCTCAAAAACATAAGTATGCCATTTGCAATTTAAAAGTGTTGCCAGGTTTCTTTAGTCATATATTTGATCCTTAATTATTTAAAACAATGCAAACGAAAACACCCATTTAAAAGTGGGCTTTATTTAGCCAAATAGACCATGAAATCCAATTTCTGGGACCATTGGAACCGAAGGGTTCAGATGATGATAAACGTTCTATAGGTTATAATTAAAAAAAAAAAAATTTTTTTTCAAAAGATTTATAAAAATTACTAAACAATATAAATTTTAAAAACAAATCAGAAAATAGCTGCGAATTTTATTTGGTCTGAACCTAAATTTCGAATTGCGAAAGAAGTAATCAGTAAGTTTAATAAATAAATAAAAAAAAAAAGAGAGAGAGAGAGAGATCAATAAATATATATCAAATTCAGTTAACATTGAGGAGCTAAAATTTTGGAAACAAATTTTTTAAAAACTAATTACGCGATTTTTACAAAACTTAGCGCTTTGGTATAATTTGATACGTAGAATCGAAATGTGAAAAAAAAATCGGTATGTCATTCTAGAAAAAGTCCTATTTTGTGCCAAAAATAGGCAATAAAATGTTACAACAATGCTATATATAAATCTAATTTATATCCGAAGTCACGATTTCGAGGCATGAAAAACGCAAGTTAAATTTCGTCAATCGGCTTAGTATAAGAGGAGATGTACCTTTTTTTTTCGTGTGTGTGCAAGGTGTGCATATAACAAATGTTGTTGCCCATCATATTATTCGATGGACAGCTACTTTTCATAGTTGCTTACCTTTTTCTTAATATGCCATTCTTAATACCAATATCATCCCTTAGCATATCTTCTGTCAGTTGAAGCAATAAATCGCCATCCACTCGGCTGTTTAAAAATTCTGTAGTATATGCATCGAAACCAATCTAAAAAATAAGTAAATTAATTTAATAAATACGTCTCCACTATTTTTTCCCAAATGCAATTTTACATTCATATTAAGACTTAATAAGAAAATAATGAATATTCCAATGATTCGTTGTTTGACTTGGTTTATTTGACTACGGGAAAGCACGCAAGGTCTATCTGCTTAAAGGAGGGTTGCTTTCGTGAAGAACTTTCTCATATCCACGTTACACATGAAAAAAACCATGAACCATGAAAAAACCATGAAACTCAAATTCGTATTTTGAGGTGCACATGTTCAAAATTTAGTGGCTCTAGGTGCCGTCGTTTCTCCACAACGCGAGGAATATACATACATTATTTAATTTTTTAAAAAATAATACTTGGCGACAGCATTAAAAAGTGATTCGGAAAAAAAGTGCTTTTCAAGACTAATAGGTCCTTCGATGATTAAAAATAAATAAATAAAAGTCTGAAAGTTGCTAAATTTATATTACAGGAAAGGGGGCGTCTTTTTCATTTATACAGACATACACGTTTCGAGAGCATTTGGACTAATATCCCTTTGCGCTAAAAATATTTAAAAACAGCATATCTTTAAAATTTCCGACAGACAGTCTCGCGCGCTGGAAATTATTATTATTATTTAGTATTATTATTATTTTTTTTTTTTTTTTTTTCCCGTACAGTGGTGCCATTGCTCGTTTTGAAATCGTTGAGTTTGTTAATAAAAAATTCAACGTTTTACAAAATATGAAATAGATAATAGAATAAATTCGAAATTCCAAATCCGGGCTTCCAGGTTACCCATATTCGGATGGAGGACTGCGTTATTCAAAATTTGATGGCTCTAGGTACCGTTGTTTTATCACACTGCTAGAAATCTATAGAAAGATTTTACTATATATTTATGCAGATTCTTCATTATTTAGTTCCTTTAAATATAATATACGGCTCTAACATTTGGTGGCAACAATTTGAAAAGTGATACGCCGTTTGTAGTGATTCAACGCAAAATGCCAAGACGAAATTAATAGCCCTTCTAGGCTAACACCCTTTGGGCTAAAAATGTTGAGAAAAATACCTTTCCACAGCTTAATGTACGGGTTCTTCAAGGAAATGCAATTTCTCAACAAGACAAATCCTCTTAGAAATAGCCGGTAATGAAGGAATATAGATTATTTTCAAAATTAAATGCATGAAGAAGAATTAATAAAAATGGATAAACTAATTCAAACAGCTCAGGAAGTATAGGAATATGATAAGGATCTATAGCAACATTGCAAAGTCTTTTTTAAGGAATGCCTAAAAGCGTACGGTCATTATTTAATGCCAAAGGATGTCATATTAAATACTGAAATGTTGCTTAAAATAATTCATTACAAGTCTTTATCATTAAATGTATTTAATACCTAATAAAACACTTTTAATCACAATAATATATACTTTGCAACAATAATACTTTGCAACAATTTGCATCTGTAATAATTTGCACAAGGCTGTACAAATGGTCTTTGATATCAACTTTTAATATTTTTCTACAGAAACGTAAGCCATATGTCCGATATTCGAATCTGGGCGAAGGCATTGCGGATTTCTTCAGTTTCATGACATCGAAAATTCTAAAAGATTCTACAAATGTTAATTTATAAAACATCGTTTCATAGTCTTTATTAAACGACAAATCTCATCTCTCTTACCCAAGTAAAAATTTTCCAGAATTTTCCACAGATCAAAACTTGATCTAATTAATCACAGCTTATCTGTTTACAGGAAGAAAGGTATTTTTGAAGATTTTACTAAACGAAAATAGTTCCTATTTGTGTAACACTTAGAAAAGCGTTAAACTAAACATCAGTCTATCTGTTCTATCTCCGGAAATTACGCCGGATGCAATTACCCATGCTTCCTGGCTTTATTTATTTGGTTACTGATACATCCAGAAGAAGATGGGGAAAAGAGAAGTACAAGAGAAGAGAAGTACAAAAGAATGCATTCTGTAGAAATTAGTTCTTCATTACAAATATGTGAAGTTCACCTTATTCGTGGAAAAAACTTCAAATTTGTGATAAACTGTGTCTTACTTGTTACTGGGAACATAATGAAAACAGAAGCGTATAATATAAAATGCCTAAGAAATCTACAGAACGCCTGAATTACAAAGTAAAGTTTGCACAAATTTATGCTTTCCCTAGGTACTTTATATAATACTTAAGCATTGCACAGAATGGCAAACACAGAGTTATGCAAAATATGAAAATACGGTCTCTGGCACACATGAAAATAAAAAGAGAAGTACAATATAAAGTAAAAGATTATCTTATTGGGGGGAAAGAACAATATGGGCCTATTTCTTCCTACAAGGACGGCTAGAACGCCATTTTGAATTGAAGTTTTCAAGGGAAATTATTAAACCTATCAACAATACCATCCATGAAACTTTCTATGGTGGACAAATATGCCAACATACGTGCGCCATAGCATTTTGCAATCGGCAGCAATCTCCGGAACAAGACTATAACGCGCGCCAGCAAAATATTATAAGGTATTTCTCCCACTTTCCTAGCGTACCTTCGTGGTGTATGTAATAAATTGGCTGCACACTGGGCCGGTATTCCAGAGGTCTGTGGTTCGATTCCCAGCGAAGGCGGTTGCTAATTTTTCATCTTTCCTGCTTCCAAAAAATCCTAATGTCTCTACAATGGCGCCCGAACTAAAAGGGTGTTGGATGAGGTTTCTCCACACCCAGGATTTGGCGATTGGGTCCCCTGAAAACCCCAGCCGCCCTTTAAAAAGGGGAGTATATAAGGTATTTCTCCCACTTTCCTAGCGTACCTTCGTGGTGTAGTGGTTCTGCACGCTGGGCCGGTATTCCAGAGGTCCGTCGTTCGATTCCCGGCGAAGGCGTTGCTAATTTTTCATCTTGCCTGCTTCCAAAAAAATACCTAATGTCTCTACAATATTTGCAGCCATAAGTTGCCAAACATAAAGCATCTGTCAGCTGTGAGGTATTACATTTTCAATAAAGACCACATACCCCATCATAAAGTCTGAGGGTCGGATGAGACTTGCAGAAGGAGCTTGCTCCTACTTGGTCGTATCGGAAGTAAAACTTCGTCGACCTAAAGTCTCGTATCCCCTTAGCCGAAGAGTGCACCACTTAAGAGGTCACTCGAGAGCGGGAGAGACGATGCTAAAAAAACTGAGGACGGTAAAGAGGGCCGTAACCTCAAACATGAGAAATATATACATGATATATATATGACCCCATCATAAAATTTCATATATAACAGACATATGTCTCCCCATGACATGTTAATGTGGTAGAAGAACGTAAGAGGCATAACCTTGTTATGTATCCAGAAGCTTTTTACTTACCTCGAAACATAAGCTAACACTTTGGTGCACATGACTAAAGCAAAGAAAGAATGCAGCCTGAAAATGAATGTTATGCAGGTTAATGGCATAATACTCATGTCATCCAGGTTAATACTCTGATACTCATTGTAATGAAGACTCATCGTAATGCTGTGGTAATGCCACTAACTTGCATGACAGAAGTTAATATGCTCACCATATTTTCTACTGCGTTGTGCAAACACTTTACATTGACAAAAGAAATACACATATAAAGGCTGATAGAATTTTGAAGCTCCAGTCGTTATAAGCATTGCCGCAAATTTATCGCTTCATACCAAATACGTATTAGTTTGACCAGACTATGAATTTAGCAACAAAAAATGTGGGTCCCATTATTTCTAACTGTAATACCTTATGCAGTACAAGCTATTGCAACGAGAGCTGTAGATACCTTAGCGCTGATACTAAAGTAAAATTTTATATTTCGCAATTTAATGTATCGCAATATTTCAAAAACACACCTGCCAAATTTATTACATGATCCTTGAAAACAGATATTTAATTATCTTGCAAAGCTTCCTGAATGGACAAAAGTACCTGAAGGGAAAAGGTAAGAAGCGTAAATGAAACAGATAGCATAAATAACTTATATAGGGTTACTAATTCAGAAGTCAAACAACAAAAATCAGCGTTATATTTACAAAATTTTCACAGGACTAGTTTCGATGGTTTTACCGAACCATAATCTTCAGCTGCAAAACCGCAAATTTTTGTTGTTTGACTTCTGAATTAGTATTTATTCGGCGTGTTATTGTGTCTTAATTATATAGGGTTGTTTTATATTTTCGGACAACTGCTGCCAAAGACTTTTGTGCAACTTTTGCGCTGTCATAATACCTATATATGATTTTTTAATACCTGTGTATGATTTTTTGTACACATCTTGAATCCCAATACGAATCCTGAAAGATTCTCGAATCCCTTGTAAAAGAATAATATTAACAAAAATGAAAAAAGAATGATCTAATATTAAAAGTTTTTAATTAAATAAAATCTGAAACCCGCGTTTAGTGAGAAATAAATTTAATTATTCAATTTTTTTTTAATTCATCTACATTTAAGAAGAAGATGCAAATAAATTTAGTAGATAAAGTAAAATATTAAATTCTTTAATCCTGAAATTTGTTTTCTCTACAAAAAATTGACAAAAACTACGTACAGAATAGCTTAAAGTTCCTGACAGAAAGTATTTTAACACGGTACAAGTATTTTACGTTTTCGAAAATCTTTAAATATAAAAGAATGGACTATTACAATTGTTGACAAAGATAAACCTTACACACGGAACGTCAAATTCTTTCTAATAAGTGGAAGTGTGGCATTTAAGACCGCCATGGTGTAATACTTCTGGCGATTCAGGTTTTCTGCATTTGCAACAACAATTTTTTTCCTTAAATTTTATTTAATAAATGCTTCTACTGAGCATCAATGCTAGTCTTTTCCAAAGTTTTGAGTTAAAAATGTTTATTTTTATTTTTATTTTATTTATTTAATATTATTATTTTTTTTTTTTTTTTTTTTTAAGGTTACGATGTATTTGAATGATGGAATATTGCGAAGATTCGAGTTTTGGAATTTTTATCACAATTCAACAATTTGA